GTATGCATTGTATCAATGCACACGTTATCAGAGTATGCATTGTCCCATGCACACGTTATCAGAGTATGCATTGTATCAATGCACACGTTATCAGAGTATGCGTTGTATCAATGCACACGGTATCAGAGTATGCATTGTATCAATGCACACGTTATCAGAGTATGCGTTGTATCAATGCACACGTTATCAGAGTATGCATTGTATCAATGCACACGTTATCAGAGTATGCATTGTATCAATGCACACGTTATCAGAGTATGCATTGTATCAATGCACACGTTATCAGAGTATGCATTGTATCAATGCACACGTTATCAGAGTATCCATTGTATCAATGCACACGTTATCAGAGTATGCATTGTATCAATGCACACGTTATCAGAGTATGAATTGTATCAATGCAAACGTTATCAGAGTATGCATTGTATCAATGCACACGTTATCAGAGTATGAATTGTATCAATGCACACGTTATCAGAGTATGCGTTGTATCAATGCACACGTTATCAGAGTATGCATTGTCCCATGCACACGTTATCAGAGTATGCATTGTATCAATGCACACGTTATCAGAGTATCCATTGTATCGATGCACACGTTATCAGAGTATGCGTTGTCCCATGCACACGTTATCAGGGTATGCATTATATCAATGCACACGTTATCAGAGTATGAATTGTCCCATGCACACGTTATCAGAGTATGCATTGTATCAATGCACACGTTATCAGAGTATGAATTGTATCAATGCACACGTTATCAGAGTATGCTTTGTATCAATGCACACGTTATCAGAGTATGAATTGTATCAATGCACACGTTATCAGAGTATGAATTGTATCAATGCACACGTTATCAGACTATGAATTGTCCCATGCACACGTTATCAGAGTATGAATTGTATCAATGCACACGTTATCAGAGTATGAATTGTATCAATGCACACGTTATTAGAGTATGAATTGTATCAATGCACACGTTATCAGAGTATGAATTGTATCAATGCACACGTTATCAGAGTATGCATTGTATCAATGCACACGTTATCAGAGTATGCATTGTATCAATGCACACGTTATCAGAGTATGAATTGTATCAATGCACACGTTATCAGAGTATGAATTGTATCAATGCACACGTTATCAGAGTATGAATTGTATCAATGCACACGTTATCAGAGTATGCATTGTATCAATGCACACGTTATCAGAGTATGAATTGTATCAATGCACACGTTATCAGAGTATGCTTTGTATCAATGCAAACGTTATCAGAGTATGAATTGTATCAATGCACACGTTATCAGAGTATGAATTGTATCAATGCACACGTTATCAGAGTATGAATTGTATCAATGCGCACGTTATCAGAGTATGCATTGTATCAAGGCACACGTTATCAGAGTATGAATTGTCCCATGCACACGTTATCAGAGTATGCATTGTATCAATGCACACGTTATCAGAGTATGCATTGTATCAATGCACACGTTATCAGAGTATGAATTGTATCAATGCACACGTTATCAGAGTATTAATTATATCAATGCACACGTTATCAGAGTATGCGTTGTATCAATGCACACGTTATCAGAGTATTAATTGTATCAATGCACACGTTATCAGAGTATGAATTGTCCCATGCACACGTTATCAGAGTATGAATTGTCCAATGCACACGTTATCAGAGTATGCATTGTATCAATGCACACGTTATCAGAGTATACGTTGTATAAATGCACACGTTATCAGAGTATGCATTGTATCAATGCACACGTTATCAGAGTATGCATTGTATCAATGCACACGTTATCAGAGTATGCATTGTATCAATGCACACGTTATCAGAGTATGCATTGTATCAATGCACACGTTATCAGAGTATGCGTTGTATCAATGCACACGTTATCAGAGTATGAATTGTATCAATGCACACGTTATCAGAGTATGCGTTGTATCAATGCACACGTTATCAGAGTATGAATTGTATCAATGCACACGTTATCAGGGTATGAATTGTATCAATGCACACGTTATCAGAGTATGAATTGTATCAATGCACACGTTATCAGAGTATGCATTGTATCAATGCACACGTTATCAGAGTATACGTTGTATCAATGCACACGTTATCAGAGTATGCGTTGTATCAATGCACACGTTATCAGAGTATACGTTGTATCAAAGCACACGTTATCAGAGTATGAATTGTATCAATGCACACGTTATCAGGGTATGAATTGTCCCATGCACACGTTATCAGAGTATGAATTGTATCAATGCACACGTTATCAGAGTGCTGTTTTTTATTGTGGTTAATGCAAGACATGGTCCCTTGTTAAAAAAAGGTGTCAGTTTTGTTGGCAGATAAAAGGGTAAAAAAACCACCTACATCATAGACCTCCTTTGCCAATACCAAAATGTAATAATAATAATAATGGGGGTTTTCCCCCTTTTTCTGGCAATGAAACTGAGACCTTTTCAACAAGGATTCATTAACCACAATACCTGCAGGCAAAATGCAACCAAAAAAACACACACTATGATAGTATACACGATGCATTGTCCTTGAAACTGATTGGTCCACCACCAAGGGACGGCTTTCTTTTGAGCCTCGACCCCATTTGTGCTCGACCAGATGACGCCGGAAGGCGTTACACACAGCTCAAAGACAATGCCACTATCATAGTATGTGTGTGTTTTGTTTTTGCATTTTGCCCGCAGGTATTTGTGGTTAATGAATCCTTGTTAAAAAGGTTTCGGTTTTGTTGCCAGAAAAAAGTGGAACAACCCTTATTATTATATTTTGCTATTGGCAGAGGTCTAATGATGATGTAGATGCTCACCCCGAGCGCCTCATTACTTTGATAGCGGCATTGTCTTTGAGCTGTGTAAACGCCTTTTGGCGTCATCTGATCGAGCACCAATTGGGTCGAGGCTCAAAAGAAAGCCGTCCCTTGGTGTGGACCAATCAGTTTCAAGGACAATGCATCGTATATTATCATAGTGTGTGTGTGTTTTGTTTTTGCATTTTGCCTGCAGGTATTGTGGTTAATGCAGTAGACATGAATCCTTCTTAAAAAGGATTCATCTTCTTTGGTTCTTTCGGTAAAGTCACCACCACCACCACCACGTAGAATGTGAATAAAATAATACATTGATAAAACAAAACAACACAATGAAATTCTCACGACGTTTCGGCCACAACACAAGCGGCCTTCATCGGGTGAAGGGACGAGACTGTCTGGTAGGACAGCGCTGGAGCGAACTTATTTTATTATCAATCTACGTGGTGGTGGTGGTGACTTTACCGAAAGAACCAAAGAAGGTGAATCCTTGCAGTCACGAAAGCTTTAAATCGTAACTTAGATTTCACTTTTGTTGCCAGAAAAATAGGGGGGGAAACCCTAATTATTATCATTATATTTTTTTTAAAAACCCCTATTATCATATTTTGCCTCTGGCACAGGAGGTCTCATTGTGATTAAACAAACGCGGTGTTTTAATGGCTTTGAAGAGTCTCCAACTTGTCCACCGTCATCGTCAACGCGCGCCTCCAGAGGCCCTCGGGGAAGAAGGGATCCACGTGAATCGTGGTATTGTTGCACATTCTCAGGAGTGTTACCCACGTCGCCAAGAGAGAGAGAGAGAGTCTCGACTGTTAACGAGAAATTTAAACAAAAAAAAAACGAGGGGGGAACGCTTTTCTAAATGAGAGATTTCCGCAGATTCGGGGCGAGGGTGGGCGTGGAGGGGAGAGGGGGAAGTGGAGATTCAAAAATGCGGAAATTTTTTTTTTCTGCAGAGACTTTCGAAAGGCAATTCCTCACCCCCCCCCACCACCACCACCCCCCACTACACCCCACTACACCCCCCCTACGACACCCCCCCACCACCACCCCCCCACCACCACCCCCCACTACACCCCCCCACCACCACCCCCCACTACACCCCCCCACCACCACCCCCCACAGTATTGACCACGAGCCGTCTCGCTGTGGGTGCCTGGATTTGGCTTTCACCTCTCACGGCAGACGGCCGCATCCTCCTGCTGCTGCTGAAGTGTTGGTGGACTCCACTCGTCTCGTCCACCACCTCCACCTCGTCCACCTCGTCCACCACTACCTCCACCACCTCGTCCACCACTACCTCCACCACCACCTCCTCCACCACCTCCACCTCGTCCACCACCACCTCCACCACCTCGTCCACCACTACCTCCACCACCACCTCCACATCCTCCACCACCTCCACCTCGTCCACCACCACCTCCACCACCTCGTCCACCACTACCTCCACGACCAACTCCACCTCCTCCACCACCTCCACCTCGTCCACCACCACCACCACTTCGTCCACCACCTCCTGCTGCTGCTGAAGTGTTGGTGGACCCCACTCGTCTCGTCCACCACCTCCACCTCGTCCACCTCGTCCACCACCACCTCCACCACCTCGTCCACCTCCACCTCGTCCACCTCGTCCACCACCACCACCTCTACCACCACCACCTCTACCACCTCCACCACCACCACCTCGACCACTACCACCACCACCACCTCCACCACCACCACCACCTCCACCACCACCACCACCTCCACCACCACCACCTCCACCACCACCACCTCCACCACCACCACCACCTCCACCACCACCACCACCACCTCGACCACTACCACCACCACCACCACCTCCACCACCACCACCACCACCACAACCTCCACCACCACCACCTCCACCTCCACCTCCACCTCCACCACCACCTCCACCACCTACACCACCTCCACCACCTCCACCACCACCACCTCCACCTCCACCACCACCACCACCACCACCACCACCTCCACCACCACCACCACCACCACCTCCACCACCACCACCACCACCACCTCCACCACCACCACCACCACCTCCACCACCACCTCCACCACCACCACCATCACCTCCACCACCACCACCACCACCTCCACCTCCACCACCACCACCACCACCACCTCCACCACCACCACCACCACCTCCACCACCACCAGCACCACCACCACCACCTGCTCCACCCACCTCGTCACCAGCCACACGGGTGAAGGTCTCCATGAAGTGCCTCAGGTTTCTCTTCTTCACCTTCAATGTCGTCTTGTCGGTAAGGGAGCGACGAGTCGTTCACTGTGAGTCGTTCACTGTGAGTCGTTCATTGTGAGTCGTTCACTGTGAGTCGTTCATTATGAGTCGTTCACTGTGAGTCGTTCACTGTGAGTCGTTCACTGTGAGTCGTTCATGAAACAGAGACCCACAGACTCACCACACAGAGACCCACAGACTCATCACACAGAGACCCACAGACTCATCACACAGAGACCCATAGACTCACCACACAGAAAACCCACAGAACTCACCACACAGAGACCCACAGACTCATCACACGGAGACCCACAGACTCACCACACAGAAAACCCACAGAACTCACCACACAGAGACCCACAGAACTCACCACACAGACACCCACAGATCGTCGACCGATCTCGACACAGTCCCATTAACAGAGAGCTCTTGCAGCGGGCGAGGTGGCTCCGTTGGCTGGTCCACGCAGCCCGAATGCCCCCAAGGCATCCCGTAGCCGGGCATCTATTGGCTGGGCCGGATAGAGCACGGTGCTAATCGTGCCCGGAGAGACACGCCGCTCGAGAAGAGTCGGAGCGCGCTGGCGATCTGGGGGAGGAAGGATTGCCGAACCGAGCGAACTCGCCTCTGACCGGTGCCAGCGAGGATGGACTCAGGGTCCACAACGGCCGTGTTCGGTTTTTTTTCCCAGAATTGGCCGTGTCTGTCTGTCTGTCATCGGAGCTTCTGCCGGCCACGGGCAGCGCTTGAACCCCGCGGGTCTCGTCCAAAGGCGACGCTGGGGTTGAACTTTCTCCTTTGTAGATCTGCGGCTTTGCGGTGTCCGGGTCGGCGCTGTGGCTACGCTTCGACAAAATCACCGAGAACATCTTCAGCTGCGCGGACACCCCCTCCATCTTCCTCAAGGGTAAGGGTCGCGGTGACCACTCGTGCGGGTGGCACGGGCTGGAGAAGAGATGGAGCTTGAGGCTGAGTTAGTGAGCTGGCGAGTGAATGGCACGGAGCTACAGAAGAGACGGAGCTTGAGGCTGAGTTAGTGAGCGGGCGAGTGGGTGGCACGGGCTGGAGAAGAGACGGAGCTGATGGCTGAGTTAGTGAGCGTGCGAGTGAGTGGAACGTGCTGGAGAAGAGACGGGGCTTGAGGCTGAGTTAGTGAGCGGGCGAGTGAGTGGAACGTGCTGGAGAAGAGATGGAGGTTGAGGCTGAGTTAGCGTGCGAGTGAGTGGCACGGGCTGGAGAAGAGATGGAGCTTGAGGCTGAGTTAGTCAGCGGGCGAGTGAGTGGCACGGGCTACAGAAGAGATGGAGCTTGAGGCTGAGTTAGTGAGCGTGCGAGTGAGTGACACGGGCTACAGAAGAGACGGCGCTGATGGCTGAGTTAGTGAGCGGGCGAGTGAGTGGCACGGGGCTGGATAAGAGACAGAGCTTGAGGCTGAGTTAGTGAGCGGGCGAGTGAGTGACATGTGCTGGAGAAGAGACGGAGCTTGAGGCTGAGTTAGTGAGCGTGCGAGTGAGTGGCACGGGGCTGGATAAGAGACAGAGCTTGAGGCTGAGTTAGTGAGCGGGCGAGTGAGTGGCACGTGCTGGAGAAGAGACTGAGCTTGAGGCTGAGTTAGTGAGCGGGCGAGTGAGTGGCACGTGCTGGAGAAGAGACGGAGCTTGAGGCTGAGTTAGTGAGCGGGCGAGTGAGTGGCACGTGCTGGAGAAGAGACGGGGCTTGAGGCTGAGTTAGTGTGCGGGCGAGTGAGTGGCACGTGCTGGAGAAGAGATGGAGCTGATGGCTGAGTTAGTGAGCGTGCGAGTGAGTGGCACGTGCTGGAGAAGAGACTGAGCTTGAGGCTGAGTTAGTGAGCGGGCGAGTGAGTGGCACGTGCTGGAGAAGAGACGGGGCTTGAGGCTGAGTTAGTGAGCGGGCGAGTGAGTGGCACGTGCTGGAGAAGAGACTGAGCTTGAGGCTGAGTTAGTGAGCGGGCGAGTGAGTGGCACGTGCTGGACAAGAGACGGGGCTTGAGGCTGAGTTAGTGAGCGGGCGAGTCAGTGGCACGGGCTGGAGAAGAGACGGAGCTTGAGGCTGAGTTAGTGAGCGTGCGAGTCAGTGGCACGGGGCTGGATAAGAGACTGAGCTTGAGGCTGAGTTAGTGAGCGGGCGAGTGAGTGGCACGTGCTGGCGAAGAGACGGGGCTTGAGGCTGAGTTAGTGAGCGGGCGAGTGAGTGGCACGGGCTGGAGAAGAGACGGAGCTGAAGGTTGAGTTAGTGAGCGTGCGAGTGAGTGGCACGTGCTGGAGAAGAGATGGAGCTGAAGGTTGAGTTAGTGAGCGGGCGAGTGAGTGGCACGTGCTGGAGAAGAGACTGAGCTTGAGGCTGAGTTAGTGAGCGGGCGAGTGAGTGACATGGGCTGGAGAAGAGAGGGAGCTTGAGGCTGAGTTAGTGAGCGGGCGAGTGAGTGGCACGTGCTGGAGAAGAGACGGGGCTTGAGGCTGAGTTAGTGAGCGGGTGAGTGAGTGGCACGTGCTGGAGAAGAGACTGAGCTTGAGGCTGAGTTAGTGAGCGGGCGAGTGAGTGGCACGTGCTGGAGAAGAGACGGGGCTTGAGGCTGAGTTAGTGAGCGGGCGAGTCAGTGGCACGGGCTGGAGAAGAGACGGAGCTTGAGGCTGAGTTAGTGAGCATGCGAGTGAGTGGCACGGGGCTGGATAAGAGACAGAGCTTGAGGCTGAGTTAGTGAGCGGGCAAGTGAGTGGCACGTGCTGGAGAAGAGACTGAGCTTGAGGCTGAGTTAGTGAGCGGGCGAGTGAGTGGCACGTGCTGGCGAAGAGACGGGGCTTGAGGCTGTGTTAGTGAGCGGGCGAGTGAGTGGCATGGGCTGGAGAAGAGACGGAGCTGAAGGTTGAGTTAGTGAGCGTGCGAGTGAGTGGCACGTGCTGGAGAAGAGATGGAGCTGAAGGCTGAGTTAGTGAGCGGGCGAGTGAGTGGCACGTGCTGGAGAAGAGACTGAGCTTGAGGCTGAGTTAGTGAGCGTGCGAGTGAGTGGCACGGGCTGGAGAAGAGACGGAGCTGACGGCTGAGTTAGTGAGCGGGCGAGTGAGTGGCACGTGCTGGAGAAGAGACTGAGCTTGAGGCTGAGTTAGTGAGCGTGCGAGTGGGTGACACGTGCTGGAGAAGAGACGGAGCTTGAGGCTGAGTTAGTGAGCGGGCGAGTGGGTGGCACGTGCTGGAGAAGAGACGGAGCTTGAGGCTGAGTTAGTGAGCGTGCGAGTGGGTGACACGTGCTGGAGAAGAGACGGAGCTTGAGGCTGAGTTAGTGAGCGTGCGAGTGAGTGGCACGGGGCTGGAGAAGAGACTGAGCTTGAGGCTGAGTTAGTGAGCGTGCGAGTGAGTGGCACGGGGCTGGATAAGAGACAGAGCTTGAGGCTGAGTTAGTGAGCGTGCGAGTGAGTGGAACGGGGCTGGAGAAGAGACTGAGCTTGAGGCTGAGTTAGTGAGCGGGCGAGTGGGTGGCACGTGCTGGAGAAGAGACGGCGCTGATGGCTGAGTTAGTGAGCGGGCGAGTGAGTGGCACGGGGCTGGATAAGAGACGGAGCTTGAGGCTGAGTTAGTGAACGTGCGAGTGAGTGACACGTGCTGGAGAAGAGACTGAGCTTGAGGCTGAGTTAGTGAGCGGGCGAGTGAGTGGCACGTGCTGGAGAAGAGACGGAGCTTGAGGTTGAGTTAGTGAGCGGGCGAGTGAGTGGCACGTGCTGGAGAAGAGACTGAGCTTGAGGCTGAGTTAGTGAGCGGGCGAGTGAGTGGCACGTGCTGGAGAAGAGACGGAGCTTGAGGTTGAGTTAGTGAGCGGGCGAGTGAGTGGCACGGGCTGGAGAAGAGACGGAGCTGACGGCTGAGTTAGTGAGCGGGCGAGTGAGTGGCACGGGCTACAGAAGAGATGGAGCTTGAGGCTGAGTTAGTGAGTGGGCGAGTGAGTGGCACGGGCTGGAGAAGAGACGGAGCTTGAGGCTGAGTTAGTGAGCGTGCAAGTGAGTGACACGGGCTACAGAAGAGATGGCGCTGATGGCTGAGTTAGTGAGCGGGCGAGTGAGTGGCACGTGCTGGAGAAGAGACGGAGCTTGAGGCTGAGTTAGTGAGCGGGCGAGTGAGTTGCACGGGCTGGAGAAGAGACTGAGCTTGAGGCTGAGTTAGTGAGCATGCGAGTGAGTGGCACGGGGCTGGATAAGAGACAGAGCTTGAGGCTGAGTTAGTGAGCGGGCGAGTGAGTGGCACGTGCTGGAGAAGAGACTGAGCTTGAGGCTGAGTTAGTGAGCGGGCGAGTGAGTGGCACGTGCTGGCGAAGAGACGGGGCTTGAGGCTGAGTTAGTGAGCGGGCGAGTGAGTGGCACGGGCTGGAGAAGAGACGGAGCTGAAGGCTGAGTTAGTGAGCGTGCGAGTGAGTGGCACGTGCTGGAGAAGAGATGGAGCTGAAGGCTGAGTTAGTGAGCGTGCGAGTGAGTGGCACGTGCTGGAGAAGAGACTGAGCTTGAGGCTGAGTTAGTGAGCGTGCGAGTGAGTGGCACGTGCTGGAGAAGAGACGGAGCTGATGGCTGAGTTAGTGAGCGTGCGAGTGAGTGGCACGTGCTGGAAAAGAGACAGAGCTGAAGGCTGAGTTGGTGAGCGTGCGGGTGAGTAGCACGTGCTGGAGAAGAGACGGAGCTGATGGCTGAGTTAGTGAGCATGCGAGTGAGTGGCACGTGCTGGAGAAGAGACGGAGCTGACGGCTGAGTTAGTGAGCGTGCGAGTGAGTGGTACGGGCTACAGAAGAGACTGAGCTTGAGGCTGAGTTAGTGAGCGTGCGAGTGAGTGGTACGGACTGGAGAAGAGACGGAGCTTGAGGCTGAGTTAGTGAGCGGGCGAGTGAGTGGCACGTGCTGGAGAAGAGACTGAGCTTGAGGCTGAGTTAGTGAGCGTGCGAGTGAGTGGCACGGGCTGGAGAAGAGACTGAGCTTGAGGCTGAGTTAGTGAGCGTGCGAGTGAGTGGCACGGGGCTGGAGAAGAGACGAATATGATGCGCCACGGGAGGACGTGGAGCTGAGTGAACTTCGCCGTTGACCGGTAAGCCAGCGGCGTCAAGATTGGTCTCTGTGTAAGAGCGCGGAGGCTTCGTGAAAGACGCTGCTGATGATGATGCTGATGCTGACGATGATGCTGATGATGATGATGATTCTGTCGGGCACTTGGGGAGTCAGACCGCGCTTTCCACCGACAGCAGCGGAGTGCGACCGCCAGCTCACAACAACGAGCGGTAGCGCCGGGTGGCTAAAACGCAGCAAGTCGTGGCGCAGTGGAGATAGAGGCGCAAGTTCCGTGGCTGGGCACCTAACCCAGATTCTCAGTCGAGGCCGTAATTATAAATTATATCTTTGGGGGGGACACACACATCACCCCCCCTCCTCCTCCCTCCAATATGTTGCTATAAAATATATATATATAAAAAAGTAATAATAATTGCTATGCTACGTGAACACAAAACAACAATTTGATAAACCCTGGTCACAATATCTAGGACTCGTCTTCATGTAAATCAACGCATCGATTTCTGCTGAAATGACCGCGGTTATGATTGTATATTAATTATTATTCATCCCTAATCTCTGCCGTTACATAAAAATTAAACAAGAAATGGTAAAAAATAAAAGTTAAAACAGAGCAATGTAAATACAATAACACTTTTAGACATTATTGTTAAAAATATAAATAAAAGTTCCATCCCATGCGCTGGTGAATTTTTTTTATATATTCTAGGCAGGAAATGAGTTTTTTTAAATTTACATATTTTTTTTACACGCTTTCATTTAACTCACTCTGTCTGCATCCTCAAATCTTGTAACTCGATGTTAACCCACTTCCCCATGTGGCATCGCCTGCTAACTTGCTATACTAATATCAAACTGATGACAATACCATATTTTATCGTAAAAAATGTAAAAAACCCCTAAATTTTTAAACATGATTGTTTTTAACGCGTTATATTTCGTCTTGGGTCTAATTGTCCACGCTCCAACTCACGTTGGCTGTGATTGGACCGCGGTCCCCCTTAACGTGGTGGGCAAGCTTCGGGGGATCAGATTCTTGGAGTCGTGAAGTTCTTACGTTACTCGTGGGGTACGTTTTGATTTAAAGCGTTCGTGACTGCAGCGATTCATATTCTTAGCTCTTTCGGTAAAGTCACCACGTAGAAGGGGAAACAATAAAACAATAAAATATATATAAAACAATAAAACATTCTCACGACGTTTCGACCATAACGCAAACGGTCATCATCAGGTGTGAAAAAAACCAACGGCAAGACATTTTTATTGTTTTATATATATATATTTTATTGTTTTATTGTTTCCCTTCGACGTGACTTTACCTAAAGAGCTGAGAATATAGTCGGGGTACATTTAATAAAAGCGTGTTTTTAAAAAAAATTCCCACGACGTTTCTTGCCGTTGGTTTTCACACCTGATGACGACCGTTTGTGTTATGGTCGAAACGTCGTGAGAATTTTATATTGTTATATATATATTTAATTATTTCATTGTTTCCCTTCGACGTGACTTTACCGAAAGAGCTGAGAATATAGTCGGGGTACATTTAATAAAAGCGTGTTTTAAAAAAAAATTCCCACGACGTTTCTTGCCGTTGGTTTTCACACCTGATGACGACCGTTTGTGTTATGGTCGAAACGTCGTGAGAATTTTATATTGCTTTATATATATTTAATTATTTCATTGTTTCCCTTCGACGTGACTTTACCGAAAGAGCTGAGAATATAGTCGGGGTACATTTAATAAAAGCGTGTTTTTAAAAATAAGTTTTTTTATTTAAATTTTACTTACTCTGAAGTTGAGACCTCCCCCCAAACCCAAACCCAGACCCAGACCCCCCCCCAAAGTGGAAGATTTTCCCACCCCCAATGTTGACTCGATGGCTACTACGGCCTAGCAGTCTCAGCCGCATCACACGTGCTCTCCAAGTGCACCCAGCCTGGCACGAGCGTCGCGTTGTTCGTGTGTGTGTGTGGTACAACCACACGTGGTCTGAGTAGCCATCACCACCGCGGTCTATCCACTGCTGGATGAACACCGACGACGACGATGATGATGCTGGTGATGATGATGATGGTGATGATGACGACGTCAGCCCCAAGTCGTGTGTGTGTGTGTTAAATGTTGACTTGAAGCTTTCGTGATTGCAGTTTCTTGGTTCATTTCGGTAAAGTCACGCAGGAAATAAATAAACGGCTACATAGCAATAATAAAAAAAGACGAAATAACAAAAATGGAACAAAAAAATTAAGGCTAAAAATAATAAAAAAATAAATTGACAATTATTAAAGTAAAACACCCACAATGTGCGTGAATGTGTGTGGTCTGACCCACGTGGTCCCCTCTGTGTGGCTCTGAGTAATGCCACGTCCGCTCGTTCACTTCCCCCCTTACTCGCCTCCCTCCCCAGCCCTTCCTCATCTCTCCTCGTCAGCTGCCACCTCCTCCTGCTCCTACAACCCCTAGGTCGACTCGGCCTCAAATGAGCTTAACTCTGGCGCAGCGGCGTGAGGTGAACACCGGGGAGACAAAGGCGGCCGGGCGTGGTGCTAGCCACCCCTACCCCTTGCCTTCGTAGGCGCTACTCGCTCACGAGCACTTGCCCCGTCAGTCTGCTGAGGCTACACGGGGGAGCTTTGTTTGTGTGTGGGGGGGTCCACGTTTCTGAGACCAGCACTTGCCCCGTCAGTCTGCTGAGGCTACATGGGGGACTTTTGCCTGTGTAGGAGTCTACGTTCTGATTGGAGCCGGGATTCTGATGATCCTCACTGGATTCCTCGGGTGCAGAGCAGTCACAAAGGAGTCGCAATGCATGCTGGGAACGGTGAGTGGAGCTCACAAACTGTCACGTGACCCACTCTACCCCATTGATCCCATCACCACCTCTACCCCTGGGTGGTGTCTCTGTGGCTGGGTGGTGTCTCTGCCTGGGTGGTGTCTCTGTGGCTGGGTGGTGTCTCTGTGGCTGGGTGGTGTCTCTGTGGCTGGGTGGTGTCTCTGGCTGGGTGGTGTCTCTGCCTGGGTGGTGTCTCTGCCTGGGTGGTGTCTCTGTGGCTGGGTGGTGTCTCTGTGGCTGGGTGGTGTCTCTGCCTGGGTGGTGTCTCTGTGGCTGGGTGGTGTCTCTGTGGCTGGGTGGTGTCACTGGCTGGGTGGTGTCTCTGTGGCTGGGTGGTGTCTCTGGCTGGGTGGTGTCTCTGGCTGGGTGGTGTCTCTGTGGCTGGGTGATGTCTCTGTGGCTGGGTGGTGTCACTGGCTGGGTGGTGTCTCTCCCTCTGCTCATCGTTGTGTCGTGTTCCCCTCCTCCACCTCTCCAGTACTTCTTATGTCTGCTGCTCATCTTGGTAGCAGAGGTGGCTGCCGGAGGTTACTCCGTCAGCAACAAAGACAAGGTGAAGTCTCCAACGCACCACAGCGTTAGCCCAACGTTGGCCCAACGTCGGTCCAACGTCGGTTCAACGTTGAACCAACGTTGCATAGTTGCACGGTAACTGGGAAGTTGTTGTTGTTGTTGTTTTTTAAGTCTGAACTTCTCGTTGACACGGACGATGGCGGCCATAGTGTAACTATTGGTTGGGATCCAACGTTTGCCCAATGTCCCGCGTGACGTTAACCCAACGTTGGACCAACGTCGGGCCAACGTTGATCAAACGTTACGTTTTGCACGTTCACGGGGATGCAACTTCGCGAGTGGATAAGCGCTCACCAATCACCTATCCACAACCCGCCAGACTCCCAGTTGTCGTGAGTGTACGTAGTGCCACACTAGGAGATGTTGACTACCTCGCCTGGTGTGCAGGAGATCGTGGGTTCGATCCCGACCCTGACGACGCCTGCTGCTGCTGTATATTTGGAGTCTGCGTCTCTCTCTCTCTCTCTCATCATCATCACGGTGGCTAGGAGATGTTGACTACAACGCCTGGTATCCAGGAGGTCGTGGGTTCGATCCTGACCCTGACGATGCCTGCTGCTGCTGCTGCTGTAGATTTGGAGTCTGCGTCTCTCTCCCCGTGGTCGCGTGGATTTTTCCCAGGGTCCTCCTCGAGTGTTTTTTAACCACCAAATTTAGAATCAACACCGCTACGCGTTTATAAATTTACACGATGACGATGAGCTGCTTCGTTGAGCTGCTACAATTTGTGGTGGCGATGTCGCTTACGACAAAGGGCTACTACATAGCAGGTCAGTGGGGGGCCTTACCTGGTGACACTAAGATAATTTGAGTTAAAATAGTTTAAAAAAGCAGAGATTAGGGCACGCTCCCTCGGCTGCCCACTCTGTCCACTCGAGCGTCGCAGTAATCTCGCTCTGAAATCGCTCCTAATAGAGTGACTCCTCTACTTGGGAACGATCGACTTACAAACTTTTAGAGACACGAACACACCCGGTCCCGTTATGTCCCGTTGCCCGGTCGGCCCGAGAATCCTGAGTTCAACCGCCATGCAGTCGATGGCGGTGGTGGCATCTACATCTACAGAACGTGAAGAACCAGTGGCATCTACATCTACAGAACGCGAAGAACCAGTGGAATCTACATCTGCAGAACGTGAAGAACCAGTGGCATCTACATCTACAGGACGTGAAGAACCAGTGGCGTCTACATCTACAGAACGTGAAGAAGCAGTGGCATCTACATCTGCAGAACGTGAAGAAACAGTGGCATCTACATCTGCAGAACGTGAAGAACCAGTGGCATCTACATCTGCAGAACGTGAAGAACCAGTGGCATCTACATCTGCAGAACGTGGAGAACCAGTGGCATCTACATCTGCAGAACGTGAAGAACCAGTGGCATCTACATCTGCGGAAGGTGAAGAACCAGTGGCATCTACATCTGCAGAACACGAAGAACCCGTGGCATCTACATCTACAGAACGTGAAGAACCAGTGGCATCTACATCTGCAGAACGTGAAGAACCAGTGGCATCTACATCTGCAGAACACGAAGAACCCGTGGCATCTACATCTGCAGAACGTGAAGAACCAGTGGCATCTACATCTGCAGAACGTGGAGAACTAGTGGCATCTACATCTGCAGACTGTGAAGAACCAGTGGCATCTACATCTGCGGAAGGTGAAGAACCAGTGGCATCTACATCTGTAGAACACGAAGAACCAGTGGCATCTACATCTGCAGAACGTGAAGAACCAGTGGCATCTACATCTGCTGAACGCGAAGAAGCAGTGGCATCTACATCTGCAGAACGTGAAGAACCAGTGGCATCTACATCTGCAGAAGGTGAAGAACCAGTGGCATCTACATCTGTAGAACGTGAAGAACCCGTTGCATCTACATCTGCAGAACGTGAAGAACCAGTGGCATCTACATCTGCAGAACATGAAGAACCAGTGGCATCTACATCTGCAGAACACGACGAACCAGTAGCATCTACAACTGTAGAACGTGAAGAACCAGTGGCATCTACATCTGAAGATCGTCACGAACCAGTGGCGTCTACATCTGCAGAACGTGAAGAACTAGTGGCATCTACATCTACAGAACGTGAAGAACCAGTGGCATCTACATCTGAAAAACGTGAAGAACCAGTGGCATCTGCATCTGCAGAACGTGAAGAACTAGTGGCATCTACATCTACAGAACGCGAAGAAGCAGTGGCATCTACATCTGCAGAACGTGAAGAACCAGTGGCATCTACATATGCAGAAAGTAAAGAACCAGTGGCATCTACATCTGTAGAACGTGAAGAACTAGTGGCATCTACATCTGCAGAACGTGAAGATCCAGTGTTATCTACATCTGTAGAAAGTGGAGAACCAGTGGCATCTAAATCTGCATAACGTGAAGAACCAGTGGCATCTAAATCTGCATAACGTGGAGAACCAGTGACATCTTCATCTGTAGAACGTGAAGAACCAGTGGTATCTACATCTGTAGAACGTGAAGAACCAGTGTTATCTACATCTGCAGAACGTGAAGAACCAGTCGCATCTACAACTGCAGAACGTGAAGCACCAGTGGCATCTACATCTGCAGAACGTGAAGAACCAGTGGCATCTACATCTGCAGAACGTGAAGAACCAGTGGTATCTACATCTGCAGAACGTGAAGAACCAGTGGCATTTACATCTGCAGAACGTGAATAACCAGTGGCATCTATATCTGTAGAACGTGGAGAACCAGTGGCATCTACATCTGTAGAACGTGAAGAACCAGTGGCATCTACATCTGTAGAACGTGAAGAACCAGTGGTATCTGCATCTGCAGAACGTGAAGAACCAGTGGTATCTACATCTGCAGAACGTGAAGAACCAGTGGCATCTACATCTGCAGAACGTGGAGAACCAGTGTCATCTACATCTGCAGAACGTGAAGAACCAGTGGCATCTACATCTGTGGAAGGTGAAGAACCAGTGGCATCTACATCTGCAGAACACGAAGAACCCGTGGCATCTACATCTGCAGAACGTGAAGAACCAGTGGCATCTACATCTGCAGAACGTGGAGAACCAGTGGCATCTACATCTGCAGACTGTGAAGAACCAGTGGCATCTACATCTGCGGAAGGTGAAGAACCAGTGGCATCTACATCTGTAGAACACGAAGAACCAGTGGCATCTACATCTGCAGAACGTGAAGAACCAGTGGCATCTACATCTGCAGAACGCGAAGAAGCAGTGGCATCTACATCTGCAGAACGTGAAGAACCAGTGGCATCTACATCTGCGGAAGGTGAAGAACCAGTGGCATCTACATCTGTAGAACGTGAAGAACCCGTTGCATCTACATCTGCAGAACGTGAAGAACCAGTGGCATCTACATCTGCAGAACATGAAGAACCAGTGGCATCTACATCTGCAGAACACGAAGAACCAGTAGCATCTACAACTGTAGAACGTGAAGAACCAGTGGCATCTACATCTGAAGATCGTGACGAACCAGTGGCGTCTACATCTGCAGAACGTGAAGAACTAGTGGCATCTACATCTACAGAACGTGAAGAACCAGTGGCATCTACATCTGAAAAACGTGAAGAACCAGTGGCATCTGCATCTGCAGAACGTGAAGAACTAGTGGCATCTACATCTACAGAACGCGAAGAAGCAGTGGCATCTACATCTGCAGAACGTGAAGAACCAGTGGCATCTACATATGCAGAAAGTAAAGAACCAGTGGCATCTACATCTGTAGAACGTGAAGAACTAGTGGCATCTACATCTGCAGAACGTGAAGATCCAGTGTTATCTACATCTGTAGAACGTGGAGAACCAGTGGCATCTAAATCTGCATAACGTGAAGAACCAGTGGCATCTAAATCTGCATAACGTGGAGAACCAGTGACATCTTCATCTGTAGAACGTGAAGAACCAGTGGTATCTACATCTGTAGAACGTGAAGAACCAGTGTTATCTACATCTGCAGAACGTGAAGAACCAGTCGCATCTACAACTGCAGAACGTGAAGCACCAGTGGCATCTACATCTGCAGAACGTGAAGAACCAGTGGCATCTACATCTGCAGAACGTGAAGAACCAGTGGTATCTACATCTGCAGAACGTGAAGAACCATTGGCATTTACATCTGCAGAACGTGAATAACCAGTGGCATCTACATCTGTAGAACGTGGAGAACCAGTGGCATCTACATCTGTAGAACGTGAAGAACCAGTGGCATCTACATCTGTAGAACGTGAAGAACCAGTGGTATCTACATCTGCAGAACGTGAAGAACCAGTGGCATCTACATCTGCAGAACGTGAAGAACCAGTGGCATCTACATCTGCAGAACACGAAGAACCCGTGGCATCTACATCTGCAGAACGTGAAGAACCAGTGGCATCTACATCTGCAGAACGTGGAGAACCAGTGGCATCTACATCTGCAGACTGTGAAGAACCAGTGGCATCTACATCTGCGGAAGGTGAAGAACCAGTGGCATCTACATCTGTAGAACACGAAGAACCAGTGGCATCTACATCTGCAGAACGTGAAGAACCAGTGGCATCTACATCTGCTGAACGCGAAGAAGCAGTGGCATCTACATCTGCAGAACGTGAAGAACCAGTGGCATCTACATCTGCGGAAGGTGAAGAACCAGTGGCATCTACATCTGTAGAACGTGAAGAACCCGTTGCATCTACATCTGCAGAACGTGAAGAACCAGTGGCATCTACATCTGCAGAACATGAAGAACCAGTGGCATCTACATCTGCAGAACACGAAGAACCAGTAGCATCTACAACTGTAGAACGTGAAGAACCAGTGGCATCTACATCTGAAGATCGTAACGAACCAGTGGCGTCTACATCTGCAGAACGTGAAGAACTAGTGGCATCTACATCTACAGAACGTGAAGAACCAGTGGCATCTACATCTGAAAAACGTGAAGAACCAGTGGCATCTGCATCTGCAGAACGTGAAGAACTAGTGGCATCTACATCTACAGAACGCGAAGAAGCAGTGGCATCTACATCTGCAGAACGTGAAGAACCAGTGGCATCTACATATGCAGAAAGTAAAGAACCAGTGGCATCTACATCTGTAGAACGTGAAGAACTAGTGGCATCTACATCTGCAGAACGTGAAGATCCAGTGTTATCTACATCTGTACAACGTGGAGAACCAGTGGCATCTAAATCTGCATAACGTCAAGAACCAGTGGCATCTAAATCTGCATAACGTGGAGAACCAGTGACATCTTCATCTGTAGAACGTGAAGAACCAGTGGTATCTACATCTGTAGAACGTGAAGAACCAGTGTTATCTACATCTGCAGAACGTGAAGAACCAGTCGCATCTACAACTGCAGAACGTGAAGCACCAGTGGCATCTACATCTGCAGAACGTGAAGAACCAGTGGCATCTACATCTGCAGAACGTGAAGAACCAGTGGTATCTACATCTGCAGAACGTGAAGAACCAGTGGCATTTACATCTGCAGAACGTCAATAACCAGTGGCATCTACATCTGTAGAACGTGGAGAACCAGTGGCATCTACATCTGTAGAACGTGAAGAACCAGTGGCATCTACATCTGAAGATCGTGACGAACCAGTGGCGTCTACATCTGCAGAACGTGAAGAACTAGTGGCATCTACATCTACAGAACATGAAGAACCAGTGGCATCTACATCTGAAAAACGTGAAGAACCAGTGGCATCTGCATCTGCAGAACGTGAAGAACTAGTGGCATCTACATCTACAGAACGCGAAGAAGCAGTGGCATCTACATCTGCAGAACGTGAAGAACCAGTGGCATCTACATATGCAGAAAGTAAAGAACCAGTGGCATCTACATCTGTAGAACGTGAAGAACTAGTGGCATCTACATCTGCAGAACGTGAAGATCCAGTGTTATCTACATCTGTAGAACGTGGAGAACCAGTGGCATCTAAATCTGCATAACGTGAAGAACCAGTGGCATCTAAATCTGCATAACGTGGAGAACCAGTGACATCTTCATCTGTAGAACTTGAAGAACCAGTGGTATCTACATCTGTAGAACGTGAAGAACCAGTGTTATCTACATCTGCAGAACGTGAAGAACCAGTCGCATCTACAACTGCAGAACGTGAAGCACTAGTGGCATCTACATCTGCAGAACGTGAAGAACCAGTGGCATCTACATCTGCAGAACGTGAAGAACCAGTGGTATCTACATCTGCAGAACGTGAAGAACCAGTGGCATTTACATCTGCAGAACGTAAATAACCAGTGGCATCTACATCTGTAGAACGTGGAGAACCAGTGGCATCTACATCTGTAGAACGTGAAGAACCAGTGGCATCTACATCTGTAGAACGTGAAGAACCAGTGGTATCTACATCTGCAGAACGTGAAGAACCAGTGGTATCTACATCTGCAGAACGTGAAGATCCAGTGGTATCTACACGCCGTGACAAGGCGTTTGCAATCGACAGAAGTAAATTTGGGACTTACGCACGGATCGACTTAAGATTACTCAGCATCACCGCCACCAAACTCCTCTGTCAACAACAACAACGCCCATTTATTGTCTGCCTGGTCACTGTTTATTAAACATCTCCCACTACCACCACCACCACCTCCACCACCACCACCATCACCACTACCTCCACCACCACCACCACCACCACCACCAACTCCACCACCACCACCACCACCACCACCTCCACCACCACCACCACCATCACCACCACCTCCACCACCACCACCACCACCACCACCACCTCCACCACCGCCACCTCCACCACCACCATCACCACCATCACCACCATCACCTCCACCACCACCACCTCCACCACCACCAGCACCTCCACCACCACCACCTCGACCAACGCCACCTCCACCATTATCATCACCACCACCATTACCACCACCTCCAACACCACCACCATCACCACCACCACCACCACCATTACCACCACCACCACCATCACCACCATTACCACCACCACCACCTCCATCACCACCACCACCTCCACCTACACCACCACCACCACCTCCACCACCACCACCTCCAACACCACCATCACCACCATCACCACCACCACCATCACCACCACCACCACCACCACCATCACCACCACCACCACCACCATCACCATCACCACCACCACCACCACCATTACCACCACCACCACCATCACCACCACTACCTCCACCTCCACCACCACCACCACCTCCGCCACCACCACCATCACCACCACCACCACCACCATCACCACCACCACCACCTGCTGTCGATGTTTTGTCTTGATCGAACGTTGCCATTGTTAGTGACTGCAGACTCGACGAGGTTTGCGGCAGCAGCGTCATCGTCATCGTCATCATCGTCGTCATCGTCGTCATCGTCATCATCGTCGCCATCATCGTCGTCATCGTCGTCATCGTCGTCACCGTCATCGTCATCATCGTCGCCATCATCGTCGTCATCGTCGTCATCGTGGACGTCACCATCACGTGGACGCGTCACCGTCACGTGGACACGTCACCGTCACGTGGACACGTCACCGTCACGTGGACGTGTCACCATCACGTGGACGTGTCACCATCACGTGGACACGTCACCGTCACGTGGACACGTCACCATCACGTGGACACGTCACCGTCACGTGGACGTGTCACCATCACGACAGACACAAACTCCGACTTTCGTTCGCAATCACGGAGGGCGCAAAAAAAAGCGGAGGATCCGCGAAAAAATTTAAAAATAATCCACTCCACCACGACCTGCTGTGTACCAGGCGAGGTAGTTAACATCTCACCACGAGGGGAGAGAGAGAGAGAGAGACGGGGATTCCAAACATTTACAGCAGGTCGTCAGGGTCAAGGCATGGAACCCACGACCTCCTGTGAGTACCAGGCGAGGTAGTTAACATCTCATCACGAGGTTAGAGAGAGACACGGGGATTCCAAATATATACAGCAGGCGTCAGGGTCAAGGCATGGAACCCACGACCTCCTGTGAGTACCAGGCGAGGTAGTTAACATCTCATCACGAGGTTAGAGAGAGACACGGGGATTCCAAATATATACAGCAGGCGTCAGGGGCAAGGCATGGAACCCACGACCTCCTGTGTACCAGGCGAGGTAGTTAACATCTCATCACGAGGTTAGAGAGAGACACGGGGATTCCAAATATATACAGCAGGCGTCAGGGTCAAGGCATGGAACCCACGACCTCCTGTGAGTACCAGGCGAGGTAGTTAACATCTCATCACGAGGTTAGAGAGAGACACGGGGATTCCAAATATATACAGCAGGTCGTCAGGGTCAAGGCATGGAACCCACGACCTCCTGTGAGTACCAGGCGAGGTAGTTAACATCTCATCACGAGGTTAGAGAGAGACACGGGGATTCCAAATATATACAGCAGGCATCAGGGGCAAGGCATGGAACCCACGACCTCCTGTGAGTACCAGGCGAGGTAGTTAACATCTCATCACGAGGTTAGAGAGAGACACGGGGATTCCAAATATATACAGCAGGCGTCAGGGGCAAGGCATGGAACCCACGACCTCCTGTGTACCAGGCGAGGTAGTTAACATCTCATCACGAGGTTAGAGAGAGACACGGGGATTCCAAATATATACAGCAGGCGTCAGGGTCAAGGCATGGAACCCACGACCTCCTGTGAGTACCAGGCGAGGTAGTTAACATCTCATCACGAGGTTAGAGAGAGACACGGGGATTCCAAATATATACAGCAGGTCGTCAGGGTCAAGGCATGGAACCCACGACCTCCTGTGAGTACCAGGCGAGGTAGTTAACATCTCATCACGAGGTTAGAGAGAGACACGGGGATTCCAAATATATACAGCAGGCGTCAGGGGCAAGGCATGGAACCCACGACCTCCTGTGTACCAGGCGAGGTAGTTAACATCTCCATGCCAACGTGGTTCTTGACGCTCTAATCGCCCCATCGCTGCTGCGCCACAGATTCGGCAGGAGTTCAAGGACAACTACAGCTGCTTGTTCACGAAATATGTGAAAGAACGGTCGAGCTACACCAAGACGGCACTCATAGCCATCCACAAGGAGGTGAGCGATCACCCACTCACTCACCCAGCCAGACATCCACTCACTCACTCACTCACCCACTCACTCACTTACTCACTCATCCACTCACTCACTCACCCACTCACTCACTCACCCAACCATCCACTCACTCACCCACTCACTCACTTACTCACCCACTCATCCACTCACTCACTCACTCACCCACTCACTCACCCACCCAGCCATCCACTCACTAACGCACTCACTCACTCACTTACCCACTCACTCACTCACCCAGCCAGACAACAATCCACTCACTCACTCACCCACTCACCCACTTACTCACGTACTCACTCACCCAGCCATCCACTTACCCACTCACTCACTCACCCAGCCAGACAACCATCCACTCACTCACTCACCCACTCTCCCACTTACTCACCTACTCACTCACCCAGCCATCCACTTACCCACTCACTCACTCACCCAGCCAGACAACCATCCACTCACTCACTCACTCACCCACTCACCCACTTACTCACCTACTCACCCAGCCATCCACTCACTCACCCAGCCAGCCATCCACTCACTCACCCACTCACTCACTCACCCAGCCATCCACTCACTCACCCAGCCAGCCATCCACTCACTCACCCACTCACTCACTTACCCACTCACTCACTCACCCAGCCAGCCAGCCAGCCATCCACCCACTCAGTCACTCACCAACTCACTCACCCAGCCAGCCATCCACTCACCCACACACTCACTCACCCAGCCAGCCAGCCATCCACTCACTCACTCACCCAGCCAGACATCCACTCACTCACCCACCCACTTACCCACTTACCCACTCACTCACTCACCCAGCCAGATATCCACTCACTCACCCACTCACTCATCCAGCCAGACATCCACTCACTCACCCACTCACTCACTCACCCACTCACTCACTCACTCACCCACTCACTCACCCAGCCAGCCATCCACTCATCCACTCACTCACCTACTCACCCACTCACTCACTCACCCACCCAGCCATCCACTCACTCACTCACCCAGCCATCGACTGACTCACCCACCCACCCACCCAGCCATCCACTCATTTACTCACTCACTCACCCACCCAGCCATCGACTGACTCACCCACTCACCCACCCACCCACTCAACCACCCAACCACCCACTCACCCACCCACCCACTCACCCACCCACCCACTCACCCACTCACTCACCCACTCACCCACTCACTGACCCACCCACTCCCCGCCCGTGTGTCTCTCCACGCAGCTCAACTGCTGTGCCACAGGGAAGGTCTCGAGCACCCTGTCATCACTGGTCCCAGGTCTCTGCCCCAACGACAAGAACATAATCGAGGCATGGCTCAAACCAGACATGGTGAGTCGGAGTGGTTGGGGCTGAGCTGACCGAGCGGGAGGACGCCCCGTGCTGTGACTCCCTTCGCCAAGCAGAGTGGGTGGAGTGGGTGGGTGAATGGGTGGGTGGGTGTGTGAGTGTGTGGGTGAGTCTGTGGGTGGGCTGGTGAGTCTGTGGGTGAGTGATTGGGTGGGCTGGTGAGTGAGTGAGTGGGTGCGTGGGTGAGTGCGTGGGTGTGTGAGTGGGTGGGTGTGTGGGTGGGTGTGTGGGTGGGTCTGTGGGTGGGCTGGTGAGTGGGTGAGTAAGTGAGTGGGTGGGTGAGTCTGTGGGTGGGCTGGTGAGTGGGTGAGTGCGTGAGTGGGTGAGTGGGTGAGTGCGTGAGTGGGTGGGTGAGTGAGTAAGTGAGTGGGTGGGTGGGTGAGTGAGTGAGTGGGTGGGTGAGTGAGTGAGTGGGTGGGTGAGTGCGTGAGTGAGTGGGTGAGTGCGTGAGTGCGTGAGTGGGTGAGTAGGTGGGTGAGTGAGTGAGTCGGTGGGTGGGTGAGTGAGTGAGTGGGTGGGTGGGTGAGTGAATGAGTGGGTGGGTGAGTGCGTGAGTGGATGAGTGAGTGGGTGGGTGAGTGAGTGAGTGGGTGAGTGGGTCGGTGAGTGAGTGGGTGGGTGAGTGAGTGAGTGGGTGATTGGGTGGGCTGGTGAGTGGGTGAGTGAGTGAGTGGGTGAGTGAGTGGGTGGGTGGGTGAGTGAGTGAGTGAGTGGGTGAGTGAGTGAGTGAGTGGGTGAGTGGGTGGGTGGGTGAGCGTGTGGGTGAGTCTGTGTGTGGGTCTGTTTGTGAGTGTGTGGGTGAGTCTGTGTGTGAGTGTGTGTGAGTGTGTGTGTGAGTGTGTGTGAGTCTGTGTGTGAGTCTGTGTGTGAGTGTGTGAGTGAGTGTGTGAGTGTGTGTGTGAGTGAGTCTGTGTGAGTGTGTGTGTGAGTGTGTGTGTGAGTGAGTCTGTGTGTGTGTGGGTCTGTGTGTGTGTGAGTCTGTGTGAGTGTGTGTGTCAGTGTGTGTGAGTGTGTGTGATTGTGTGTGTGAGTGTGTGTGTGTGAGTGTGTGTGTGAGTGTGTGTGTGAGTCTGTGTGAGTGTGTGTGTGAAACGTGGACCCCCCTAATGGAACATCTTCGCCGGTTAGAAACATTTAGGCTGGCCTGCCTACGATCCATCCTGGGTTTAACCAGACTGGATTGTGTGAGGAGCTCACAAATCCTTGAAAGATCTGGGCAGGGTCCCATCGGTGAGCTCCTCCGGCAGGCAAGGCTGCGATGGCTGGGTCATGTAGCCCGCATGCCCAGCCACCGCATGCCGAAACAGCTTTTGCTTGGCCGGATTGAGGGGGCTAAGCGGGCGCGGCACGGGCTAGAGAAGAGATGGAGTGATGTGGTACAGGAGGACGTGGAGCTGAGTGGACTTGCCGATGACTGGTACCAGCGGTGTCAAGATCGGCCTCTGTGGAGGAGGCTCGTGAAGGATGCTACTGGGCAGTTGGAGGTAGTCGCCCTCCAACAACAACGGAGGGCGGAGGAGCGACGCTCAGAACAACGAGCGGAGCGCCGGGTGGCTAAAGCACAGCAGGTTGGCACAGTAGGGGGCACAGGTGGTGCATCAGCCAGTCATCTCAGTCATCTCAGTCAGTCGACCCGTGGCACCTGGGTCTGCCCCGTGACCTCCTGCCAGCGGGCATTCGACACTTCACGTGGCCTCACGGTGCACATAGCCTGGCACAAGCGTCGTGGTGACGTCACCGCCACTTAGTGGCGAATGGCGGTTGTTGTGTGAGTGAGTGTGTGAGTGTGTGTATGAGTGTGTGTGAGTGAGTGTGTGTGTGTGAGTGTGTGTGTGAGTGTGTGTGTGAGTGAGTCTGTGTGTGAGTCTGTGTGTGAGTCTGTGTGTGTGTGAGTGTGTGAGTGAGTCTGTGTGTGAGTCTGTGTGAGTGTGTGTGTGAGTCTCTGTGTGTGAGTCTCCGTGTGTTTGACTCCCCCTGTGCTTGCAGGACTGTAACAGCCGCATCGACGAAATCTACTCCCAGAGGGTCTACATCATCGCCGCTGTCGGCATCGGCTTCGGCGTCATGATGGTGCGTTACGTCATCATCGTCATCGTCGTCATCGTCGTCATCATCAACATCGTCATCGTCATCGTCCCCCCTGTACTTCCCACTGCGCCCCCTGGCTGCTGTTGTGCCCCTCCCCCACCGCAGGTCGCCGGCCTCGTGATCAGCGCCATGCTGTGCGGGGCCATTCGGCAAGAAGCAAACTCCGACTAGCAAGTCACGTGGGCACCGTGACACACCCCAGGTGACGCCCTCCCCCACCCCCTCCCTCCCACCACCTCCCTCCGTCTCCCACCAACAACTACAACTGGCTGGTGCACCACCTGTGCCCCCTACCGTGCCAACCTGCTGTGCTTTAGCCACCCGGCGCTCCGCTCGTTGTTGTGAGCGTCGCTCCTCCGTCCTCCGTTGTTGTTGGAGGGCGACTGCCTCCAACTGCCCAGTAGCAGCGTCCTTCACGAGCCTCCTCCACAGAGGCCGATCTTGACACCGCTGGTACCGGTCATCGGCAAGTCCACTCAGCTGCACGTCCTCCTGTACCACGTCACTCCATCTCTTCTCTAGCCCCGTGCCTCCTGTACCACATCACTCCATCTCTTCTCTAGCCCGTGCCGCGCCCATTTAGCCCCCTCGATCCGGCCGAACAAAAGCTGTTTGGGCATGCGGTGGCTGGGCATGCGGGATACATGACCCAGCCAACACAGCCTTGCCTGCCGGAGGAGCTCACCGATGGGACCTTGCCCAGATCTTTCAAGGATTTGTGAGCTCCTCACACAATCCAGCCTGGTTAAACCCAGGATTGATCGTAGGCAGGCCAGCCTAAATGTTTCTAACCGGCGAAGATGTTCCATTAGGGGGGTCCACGTTTCGCAAGCGTAGAGAATGGATGGAATGACCGTGGCCGAGAAGACCTGAAGCTTAGTGCGGAGCAACAGACCAGGTAGCTTCCACACAGCGTTACGCAACCGATGAAAATATATTGCCGCTCGACTGATTCGGAGTGAGACCTCTGCTGGTAAACTGGAGCCGGTCATGAGCACACTGCACAGGTATGGGAAACTCTCCACTCTCTCCACAACCGATTGGGAGTTGTGGGGGTGGAGTGCCAGATGGTACAAAATACCCAGGCAGGTGCTTAGTTTTGGTGGGGCTGATGGTAAGGCCCCACCTCTTAGTGCCACACTCCAATTTCAGCAGCAGCAGCGTCTCCAACTCTTCCTCTGACTGTGCAGCTATTACCAAATCATCAGCATACATGACGTGGTTGAGCAATAGGGAGCCATCCCTTGACCGCACACGGGCATTGATCAGCCTCCCATTGTATCTGTACCAGATGGCAATTCCTCTGGTACAGCTATTGAAGGCGTCACGAACTACGTGGTCATAATAGATGTTAAATAATGTGAGAGCCAGAGGACATCGCTGTCGCACTCCAAGGTGAACAGGGAATGGCTCGGACTCCTGGCCACGTAGTTTTAGCCGGGCCCGCTCACCATCATCAAGGTCCTTAATGATCGTGAGCAGAGGGTTAGGGACTTCGAAAGCACGAAGAACAACCCAGAGCCCAGGCCTACTGATGGTATCATAGGCCTTGACCAGGTCAATAAAGCAGAGATGTAGCACTTGTTGGAATTCCCTACACCTCTGCTGTAGCAAACGGACAGAAAATATGGCATCTGTGCAGGACCGCTCTTTCCTGAAACCGCATCGGGGCTCTACAAGCCTCTCCTCAGAGTGCCTGGCAAGGCGATGTTGAATAATCCTTGCCAGGACCTTTCCTGGCACACTGAGGAGTGAGATGCTGCAGTATTTGTTACAGTCTGTGCGGTCCCCCTTCTTAAAGATGGGGACCACCAGGGCATCCTTCCAATCCTCCGTAACCCGTCCAGTGGTCCAGACTGTTTTTATGATGTCATTTAGGGTAGTCTGTGCACAAACGCCACCCTCCCTCAGGATTTCGATTGGAAGATCATATCTGCCCGGTGCCTTTCCTGGTCTCAGACTCTGGATTGCCTGCAGTACTTCCTCAACAGATGGCACTTCAGACAGCCACTCACAGGGGGTGACTTCTTCCAATATTTGAGGCACCGCAACCTCAGCAGGGTCATCCTCACTTTGTGCCACGATGTTTTCCAGGCTGAGGGATTTCCCCTCCCCCAGGACCTCACAGAAATGCTCAGCAAATCTGCAAACCTGTTCCTGGGGGTCGGAGATTGGATCACCGTTTTTTCTCCTAATGATGGTAATAGGTGTGGCGCTGCAGGTTACTTTTTGATGGAATTAAATAGAGATTTGTGATCACGGGCCACTGAGGCAGACTCCATCTCCTCAGCAACCAGCGACCACCACCCATCCTTGCAGCGCCTCACGGCTCTCCGAACCTCTGAGCGAACGCTGCGGTAAGCCTCCTCATTCTCCGACGTGGGATGCTGTAGCGATAAGAGTGGGCCTGTCGCTTTTCTCAGCCATCTTGAACATCTCCTCTTTCAGCCAGGGTCTCTGGGGAGGTCTGGACCGTGTACCCAAAGCAGCCATTGCAGTTGCCTGAGTCACAGTCCTAAACCTCGCCCATTTACCCTCGACATTTGGAGGAGTGGGGGACGATGCCAACGCCAGCCGCAAGCGATGATGACATTCTCGCTTGCAACTTTCATCAGTTAGCTGAGACCAGGCCACCTTAGGTTAGAATGGGGTCCTGGGTGTACACCCACCACCGAAGTGTAAAAATGGCAGGTGCATCTTACCGATGACTAGTCGATGGTCAGAGGGTAGATCAGCCCCACGGTAGGTCCTGGTGTCGAGGACATGGGCTCGCATCTGCTGGTCCGTCACTATGTAGTCCAGCAGATGTTCTTGCTTGGACCCGGCCTGCATCCACGATGTTGTGTGGATGCGCTGATGCTGGAACAGCGTATTGGTAATTACAAGCCCATGGGCTGCACAAAAAATCTAGCAGCCTCCTACCCTTGTTATTGAGCTGATCTGGCCCATGCCCTCCAATCACCCCAGACCAGGTGCCAGCATCATGACCAACTCGGGCATTGAAGTCACCCAACAAGATGACTCTATCCCGAGGGGCCACTTTAGCCAGCACCTGCGACAGGAGGTCATAGAAGGCATCTGACTCATTGGCCTTGCCTGCATCCCTCCACGGATGTTCGTCTTCGTTGGGGGCATAAGTAACCACGACCACCACTCCTCGCCTCCGGTTGATGGGAAGGCGAGCCCAAAGTAGCCTGGGGCTTACAGCTTCCCACACCTCACCGCCACGCTCCCACGTCCCCTTCATTATTTAGTTCAGAAGAAGAGCCACACCCTGTTGTTTGGCAGTCTGCTGCCCCGAGTAGAGGACTGTCCACCCCTTATGGTGGCAGGAGCCTGAGCCGGTCCACCGGACCTCCTGAATGCCACAGAGATCCAGGCGATACCGGTACAGCTCCCGACAGAGGAGTGGCAGCCTCTCCTCTGCAGTGAGTGTTCGAACATTCCACGCGGCCACACATAGTGGTTTTTTGCTGTTTCTGGAGGAGCCCCGAGGGTAGATGTTCAATCTCCTGGCTCCGCTAAATGGGGTTTGGCAAGGAGACGTCATAGACGCCTGTCCCCCCGGGGCCTCCGGCACAAGCTTATTAGTTAGATATTTCAGTCGTAGTTTAGTGGTAATTAATTGAAGGTGGAGGGGTTACCAGCCCCTCGCACCTGTCCAGAGCCCCCGTTTAGCCCCTGTGGTGGTCACCGACGCCATGAGGGGAAAGGCCAATCGGAATTGGCCCTCCCCCCCACAGCACTGTCCACGACAGCGTTGCCTGTCCGGCAGACTCACGCCCTCCCTCCCAGCCCCTCCCTCCCCCTCCCTCCCCCTCACTCCCCCAGCCCCTCCTTCCCTCCCCCTCCCTCCCACCCCCTCCTCCAGCCCCTCCCTCCTTCCCACCCCTCCCTCCCCTAGCCCCTCCCTCCCTCCCCCTCCCTCCCACCCCCTCCCTCCCCCAGCCCCTCCCTCCCACAGCCCCTCCCACCCCCTCCCTCCCCCAGCCCCTCCCTCCCCCAGCCCCTCCCTCCTTCCCACCCCCTCCCGCCTCCTCCCTCCTACCCCCTCCCTCCCCCAGCCCCTCCCTCCTCCTCCCTCCCTCCCCCTTCCTCCCATCCCCTCCCTCCTTCCCACCCACCCCCAACCCCTCCCTCCCCCTCTGTCCCCCTCCCTCCCACCTCCCTCCCACTTCCTCGTCGTTGTTTTTGTTGTCGTCTTGCAGGCGGAGTGGAAGGGAGGTGACGGTGACCATGGGATGAAGAACGCCTCGAGCACACACACAGCGTGTACACACACACACAGTGTACACACACACAGTGTACACACACACACAGTGTACACACAGTGTACACAGTGTGTGTGTGTGTGTGTACACACACACACACACACAGCGTGTACACACACACACACAGTGTACACACACAGTGTACACACACACACACAGTGTACACACACAGTGTACACACACAGTGTACACACACAGTGTACACACACAGTGTACACACACATAGTGTACACACACAGTGTACACACACACAGTGTACACACACACACAGTGTACACACACACAGTGTGTACACACACACACAGTGTGTACACGCTGTGTGTGTGTACACACACAGCGTGTACACACACACACAGTGTACACACACAGTGTACACACACACAGCGTGTACACACACACAGTGTACACACACACACAGTGTACACACACACACAGCCTGTACACACACACAGTGTACACACAGTGTACACACACAGTGTACACACAGTGTACACACACAGCGTGTACACACACACAGCGTGTACACACACACACAGTGTATACACACAGTGCACACACACACAGTGTACACACACACACAGTGTACACACACAGCGTGTACACACACACAGTGTACACACATAGTGTACACTGTGTGTGTGTACACTATGTGTGTGTGTGTACACACATAGTGTATACACACAATGTGTACACACACAGCGTGTGTACACACACAGCGTGTACACACACAGCGTGTATACACACACACACAGTGTATACACACAGTGCACACACACACAGTGTATACACACAGTGCACACACACACAGTGTACACACACAGCGTGTACACACACACAGCGTGTACACACACACACAGTGTACACACACAGTGTACACACACACAGTGTACACACACACAGTGTACACACACACAGCGTGTACACACACAGTGTACACACACACACAGCGTACACACACAGTGTACACACACAGTGTACACACACACAGCGTGTACACACACAGTGTACACACACACACAGTGTACACACACACAGTGTACACACACACAGCGTGTACACACACAGTGTACACACACACAGCGTATACACACACACAGCGTATACACACACACACGTTGTACACACACACAGTGTACACACACACAGCGTGTACACACACAGTGTACACACACACACAGTGTACACACACACACAGTGTACACACACACAGCGTGTACACACACAGTGTACACACACACACACAGCGTGTACACACACAGTATACACACACACACAGTGTACACACACACAGCGTATACACACACAGTGTACACACACACACACAGTGTACACACACACACACAGCGTATACACACACACGTTGTACACACACACAGCGTATACACACACAGTGTACACACACACACACAGTGTACACACACACAGTGTACACACACACGTAGGGTCCCAGCGGGGGGATCGCCTGGCACCACGGGTTTTCATCCGAAGGGCCCCTAGCGGGTCGCCCCACGGTTTCCCGGTTCCAGGAGATTGGCCGATCCCCCCTCCCCCCCCCCAACAGACCAACTAACATTACAGCGCCCCCCCCCCCCCCCCCCCCCTTAAATCTTCCACAAATTGTTTGGGCGCAACAGAAGCTCACCGGGCTAACCGCAGCGCGAAGCTCACAGCGCCGGGGTGCCGGGGGGTCAAATATTTCGTGGGCGGCGACTACGAGGAGGCGGGGCGGGGAACTCGTCCGCGGACACCGCCGGGTGCGGACCGAGCCCGGCGGGGCGCTCGGGGGGCGAGGAATTTCGCGGGGCGCGTAGACAGCGGGCCGAGGAATCGTGGGAAGCAGCGGTCCAGGAAAGCGCCGAGGGCATCGGTTTGAAATCGCAGGCGAGCACGCGATTGGCCGCCGCAGGATTGAGGTCGCCGCGATTCTGAAGTCAAGGGGGATTCAATGGGCAGGGAGACAAACGGCTCGGGGTGGACTTCCCCTCCGCGTGGACTTCCCCTCCGTGTGGACTTCCCCTCCGGGTGGACTTCCCCTCCGTGTGGACTTCCACTCCAGGTGGACTTCCCCTCCGGGTGGACTTCCCCTCCGGGTGGACTTCCCCTCCGGGTGGACTTCCCCTCCAGGTGGACTTCCCCTCCGGCCGTCCAGACGTCAGGAGCGACTCGCGGCCGCACTCGCCAGCGTCCGTGAGACGCTAGACGCTAGCGTCCGTGAGACGCTAGACGCTAGCGTCCGTGAGACACTAGCGGCTAGCGTCCGTGAGACCCTAGACGCTAGCGTCCTTGAGACCCTAGCCGCTAGCGTCTCACGGACGCTAGCGGCTAGCGTCCGTGAGACGCTAGCGTCTAGCGTCCTTGAGACGCTAGACGCTAGCATCTGTGAGACGCTAGCGTCTAGCGTCTCACAGACCCTAGACGCTAGCGTCTGTGAGCCGCTAGCGTCTAGCGTCTCACAGACGCTAGACGCTAGCGTCTGTGAGACGCTAGCGTCTAGCGTCTCAAGGACGCTAGACGCTAGCGTCCTTGAGACGCTAGCCGCTAGCGTCTGTGAGACGCTAGCTGCTAGCGTCTGTGAGACGCTAGCGAGCGGACTCGCTAGCGTCTCACGGACGCTAGCGTCTAGCGTCTTACAGACGCTAGCGTCTAGCGTCTTACAGACGCTAGCCGCTAGCGTCTTACAGACGCTAGCCGCTAGCGTCTGTGAGACGCTAGACGCTAGCGTCCGTGAGACGCTAAAGAGTGCACTCGCTAGCGTCTCACGCTAGCGTCCGTGAGACGCTAGATGCTAGCGTCCGGCGTGAGACGCTAGCGTCTAGCGTCTCACGCTAGACGCTAGCCGCTAGCGTAAGATGCTAGCGGCTAGTGTCCGTGAGACGCTAGCGGCTAGCGTCCGTGAGACGCTAGCCGCTAGCGTGAGACGCTAGCGGCTAGCGTGTGTCGCTCCGAGTCGACCCGAGGCAGAGCCCCCTCTCTCTCTCTCTGATCGCCGTCCCTCCGACTCCCGCAGTGTCGCTGCGACGCCGTGAGCGTGTCCGCGAGGCGAGGAATCGAGTGAGGCTACACCCAAGGGATTGGGTGGTGAGGGGCTAGGCCCTGCTCGTGGAATATTTTGCTCCGCGCCATGCGCACGCGCGAGGGGTTTTTCTCGGAACGCGCCGTCAATAAACTTTGGTGCGGAGTGTCGGCGCGGTGCCATTTGTGCGCGTGCGTCGGTAACAAGCGCCCGCAGGGGCGAGAGCGTTCACGACACCGCGTCGGCTTTCTGAGGCGGTGTGCGTGGGGAGCGTGCGGGGTAACCCCGGGCGGTGGTGAGCCAGCCCGTGAGGGATGTCCCTCAGGGCACTGGGGGGGGGGAGGAGGGGGGCGACGAGGAGGAGGGGGGAGTGGAGGGGGTGGATGTCAGCCCCCGCAGGTCACGGGGCAGACCCAGCAGGTGCCACGGGTCGACTGACTGAAACAAATTAAAATGACTGGCCGATGCACCACCTGTGCCCCCCCTACTGTGCCAACCTGCTGTGCTTTAGCCACCCGGCGCTCCGCTCGCTGTTGTGAGCATCGCTCCTCCACCCTCCGTTGTTGTTGGAGGGCGACTGCCTCCAACTGCCCAGTAGCGTCCTTCACGAGCCTCCTCCACAGAGGCCGATCTTGACACCGCTGGTACCAGTCATCGGCAAGTCCACTCAGCTCCACGTCCTCCTGTACCACATCACTCCATCTCTACTCTAGCCCCGTGTCATTCACCCACTCACCCACACACTCACCCACTCACCCATCACTCTATCTCTTCTCTAGCCCGTGTCATTCACCCACTCACTCACCCACACACTCACCCACTCACCCATCACTCCATCTCTTCTCTAGCCCGTGTCATTCACCCACTCACCCACACACTCACCCACTCACCCATCACTCTATCTCTTCTCTAGCCCGTGTCACTCACCCACTCACCCACACACCCACTCACCCATCACTCCATCTCTTCTCATCACCACCATCATCATCACCAACATCACCAACATCATCATCACCAACATCATCATCACCAACATCATCATTACCACCAACATCACCACCAACATCATCACCAACATCATCACCAACATCACCACCATCATCACCACCAACATCACCACCAACATCATCATCACCGTCATCACCACCATCATCATCACCACCAACATCACCACCAACATCACCACCAACATCACCATCATCACCATCATCACCAACATCACCAACATCATCATCACCAACATCATCACCACCAAAACCATCATCACCATGATCATCATCACCAACATCACCACCAACAACATCACCAACATCATCGTCGAATGGGAATTTGTAGCAGCAGACAAATAACTCCGTGTGGTAGGGGGATCGAACCCACGACCTCCTGCACACCAGGCGAGGTAGTCAACATCTCCTAGACACCCTGATGATGATGATGATGATGCAGATGAGAGAGACGCAGACTCCACATATACAGCAGCAGCAGCAGGGATCAGGGTTCGGGATCGAACCCACGCCCTCCTGCGTACCAGGCGAGGTAGTGAACTCACGCCACTCATCAGCCACAGACCGCACACAGTGACCCCTTAACATCCACTCGTCCTTTATTTATCGTGATACGTCACCACGTGGGACACGTGACACCTCACCACGTGGGACACGTGACACCTCACCACGTGGACACGTGACACCTCACCACGTGGACACGTGACACCTCACCACGTGGACACGTGATACATTACCACGTGAACACGCGACACCTCACCACGTGGACACGTGACACCTCACCACGTGGACACGTGATACATCACCACGTGGGACACGTGATACGTCACCACGTGGGACACGTGACACCTCACCACGTGGACACGTGATACATCACCACTTGGGACACGTGATACGTCACCACGTGGACACGTGACACCTCACCACGTGGACACGTGATACCTCACCACGTGGACACGCAACACCTCACCACGTGGACACGTGACACATCACCACGTGGGACACGTGACACCTCACCACGTGGACACGTGAC